GGAGGCTGAGGCAGTAGGATCGCTTGAGCCCAGGAGTTTGAGGTTGCTGTGAGCTAGGCTGACGCCACCGCACTCCACCCGGGCAACACAGTGAGACTCTGTCTCCAAAAAAAAAAAAAAAGACAGAGAGAACACCAGGGACTGTCTTGCATAACCAAGAAAAATTATCAAAGGGGAAAATCAGCCACTGCTGCTCCTTCAACTCTGCTTAGAGTCACTTTTGTCTTCTCTTAGTCTCCACTCCCGGTCCTGCCCTTAACTCTCTGGAGACTTCTGGCCTCCTGGGACTTTTATTTTGAATCTATTCTTAACTCTCTGCTGGTGTTAACTGTTCGCCAGCAGCTTAATGGCCTGATTTCCCCCTCAAACGCTGTCTTCCGGGGCCAAACCAATGGAGGTGGCCCACGCGGCAAAGCAGCCAATGCAGAGGCTTCGGAGCCACCGCTTGGGGCTGTGTGACCCTGGGCACGCTCTGTGCTCTCTCTGGGGTTGGGTGGGCGTGGCTGGGGAGATGCGCAGGGTCACACTGTTGTGAAGGCACAAGTTCAGGCCTTTTACTTAGTGGAGAACGAAGAGACAGCGGAGGTTTGGAGAAAGGAGATGCCAGGGTGGGGTGAGCTGCGGGAGCTGCGCGGCGAGCAGGGAAAGCAGGTGGGTGTGAGCGACTTGAGAGCAGGGACCAGGTGTTACTTCCAAGCCGGGCCAGCAGGGACTCCGGCACACCTGCTGCTGATTGCTCTTACTCTCCTCTCCTCAGGGCCTCGGACAAGCTGTTCCTCCTGGACCAGTGCGAGAAATACCGGCGCTGCAAGCAGTGCCAGAGGCGCACCTCCAACGTGGGCGAGAGCAACCTGTGGCCCCTGAACAAGTTCCTGCGTGGCTCACGGTTGCTTGTGTAAAACTCAAAGTTTGGATCTGCGTTTCCTGGAGAAATTTTTTTTTCTTATTAATCTTTTACATGTTTTGGGTGATTGTGAGACTGCTTATTTGTTCCTCAGAGAAAAAAAATCATTGTTCGGGTTTCATGCTTTCAGTAGACAGCTTTTTAACCCTTATTGAATTCAAGTCGGCAGAGCCTCCCCTCTTGCCTTTCGCCCTCCCTCATTTACTCCCCCAGCTTGTCTCCCATGGCAGTGAAGGTGTCTGAATGGTCCTGAGGACTGGACCCCCTGCCACAGGGGCTGGAGACTGGACCCAGCTTCATTCTGGATGCTGAGCCGGCCCTGCCACGCCCTCTGATTTTGTGTGCAAAACTCCATCTTTTTTCGTCTATAATGAATAGTGTCACAATAAATGTTTTCTAAGCACCTGAGTGCATGACAGTTCATAACGGTACATTTTACCCTCTTCCCCAACCCTAGACTTGTCCAGAGGCCTGTATGTGTGGACATCATGGAGGCAGATTAGGCTATTTACCGCAGGAGGGTCAGAGCAATGCTTCCTGCATTTTCTAATTGACACACCTGCGACTTTATTGGGGCCTCAGGGGTATCGTTCCCTTGGTGACCTCCTGATCAACCATTCCATTGTCCAGCCGTTTCTAACCCCTATCACATGCTTATTTCGGGAATAAGTGTGCATGTGAGGGGAGTCTCCTTGGCTTGGTAGGTGCCACCTCCTCTCACTGCTTCACTTGCATCCATTCTTGAGCTGTTGAAGAGGACTTCCCTGTCACTAAAGGTATGGCTGCTCTCAACCGAAAACTTTCTTAATTTATCTTTACCCTTTACCTCCTCTCCCTGCCCTATCTGACCACTTCAGATAAAACAAAGTAGAGTGAAGCCTAGATTTCTGAAATTCAAAAGCTAGGAAAAAAGTCTTTTAGACTAATTGCTTTCTGCCTGCCACACCTCTCCTTTAGACAATGAGCGAGGGTATATGTGGGGAGATGTTTGTGAATATTTAAACATTTGTTTGCTTGACTAAAAATACAAAGTAGGAATGTGTTGAGCCCTGAATAGTTATGGGGAAAATATTCACTTAAGCTGGTGTTGGACAAATTTTGTTGCTAATGTTGTCCTTTTCTATGGAAACAAGCATACCACAATTCTTTGGAACCTCTTCTCCGACCTTTCTACATTTCTGCCTCCTTCCATTTCCTCAGATAATTACTCCATGGAGGGCCAATCTTCATCAAAAGCAATAGCCTTTCCCCAGGACTGCCTGACCCGCCTGAATCCATACCTGCTGCACCCTTGGAGGATTTCTCTTTCTCTAATATATAATACATTACTATAACAGTGTTGTATTAATATTTAAAAAATATAGACTTCCATGCTAAAGTAAAAAAGTTAGGCAATTTTGATATGTCCGAGTGAACAGATTATATTGTGGGAAAGTGGGTAAAAGGTAGTGAGATTAATGCCAGGGAGATTTTAGCTGGATTTAGGAAGTGGCTTGGTACACATATATATTTTTCCTTCTTCTTTTGTAAATGAAAATGAAGTCCATGAGATCTTATATATTACTCTGCAAACTACATTTCTTTAACATAGAGAAGTCAAATTCATAGAAGCAAAAAGTAAAATGGTAGTTGCCAGGAGCTGGAGGAGGGAGAAATGGGAAGTTGTGTAATGGGTGTAGGTTTACAAGGTGAAAGAGCTCTGGAGGTTGGTTGGACAATAATGTGAATATACTTAACATCAAATAACTGTACGTTTAGACATGGTTAAGATGGTAAATTTTGTTACATGTTTTTTTTTTTACCATAATTAAAAAAACTCTGAAAAACAAAAAAAAACTTATAAAAAAATAATAGATTTCATTCAATCATTGAGCTCCCATTATGTGATAGGTGTTGGCACTTTCTGTATATCATTTAATCTTTGTAATAACTACACAACAGCTGTCGAATCAATGCTTATTAGATGAAAAAGTGGCTATGCTGTTTTAGGAAAAGTGAACCAGTAACAGAGGACATTACTGATTTTTATTGGAGGATTCTGACACCCAGTGGCTATTGCTACCTGTAACACAAAGCCCTTCAGAGCAGGCTAAATTAACAATCACATTTTTGAAGCTTCTTCTAGACTTTAATGAGAACTGATGGTAAAAGTTTCAGTTTGGCAAGAAATAAATAATTTGAACCAGGCTTAAGGTGATTCATAACAGTAGTGACAGTGTGTGTGGAGATCAGTGATCAATGAAACACAGCACGGAATACTGAGACATGGTACTTAAAGAGAAATAACATAGTGTAGTTACTTCTCTGATGACATGGTCTTCACCAAACACTCCAACTTTTTTACTTGCCTCCTTCACAAGGTTAGACAATCTTTTCATCTATTTTCTTTTTTCTCGATTAGTCACTTTTTTTCCCCCCTTTTCTGGACTTTAAATTGTGTGCCTATCTATTTTGTCTTGTAAAACGCTTGTAGCAACTTGTAGGTTGACTACTGACAGTTGAGAGGCTGGAATAAAAGGAAAGAAACATTCAGAATAGGAAATGCATTTGGGATTATTCTTCGGATGAGTTAAATTAGCCTCAAAGGAAATTAATGGCTTTGAAGGCTGAAGTTATTAATTGGAATAAGGTTATAATCCTGCTAAATTAAACCAGGATTGAAGATGAAAGGTCCTAGATCCATAAATTATTTGACAGCTGGGAGTTTTACCATGCTTTTACAGTGATCATGCCTTTTAGCATGTTTCAAAGAGTAATGAACAAAACCAGAAGTTTTTTGTTTAATGTATCATAAAGAAACAGGGCTCCCAAGGTTGCTACATGCCCTTCCAAGTATTATGAATGGAGTCAGACTGTCTTTTTCTCTTTAGGCAGTTGGCAGACAGAACTGCTGAGCTGGAGCGAGTCAACAGAATCAACCAAGGCTTACAGGAGGACTGGGAAAGGAGTACTGCGGTGAAGAAGCAGCGGGACATGGAGGAGAAGGCTTTTGAGCGGTAATGGCCAAAGTTCTTTGTTTGCAAAGAAAATCCTCTGTGTTTCTTGTATACGTTCCTCAAATCCTGGGATGCAGGATTAGTAGTGGCTGCCTAGAGAACTTTGTGGAGAAAGCAATTTTGTGTTCAGTAGGAAATACTGCTGTGATTGATTAGAAATGTCTGTTGTATGCTATATATTTACCAACCCTGCCCTAATCTTTGCCTCTCTTTAGGGTAGCTTTCTTTTCTTTATGTAGAGGATGGAGATTCTCTTTGGAAATAATTATTTGGAAGTAGGGAGAGTGAGTTTCTCATCTGAACACTTCCAAGCCTTAAAGAATGGTCATTTGAGACCAGGGTCAAACGGTAGTAGGTAAGATGGGCAATCGGAAAAGTGAGATGCCCTTTATGGAACTAATCAAGAACATGTTTCTGAAATTTATTGTTATATCTCTGTCCCCTCTCCTTAGTTATGTGTTTGTAATATGGAGGCAGGGAATTTAGGTTTTAGTCCTGGCTTTGATAATTCACACTAGCTTTGGAGAGGAAGCTAATCTTTTTGTCTTATTTTTCTTATTTGTAAAATGGGAAAGTAAACACTTGCATGACCAAGCTAACATGGGAGTTTTAGGGATTAAATAGAGATGGGAAAGTATTACACTTTGAAAAAATTAAAATACTTTACAAATGTAAGGTATGATTTCAAAGAATGTTAAAAATTTGATGAATGAGGCTGGGTGCTTGGCTCACACCTGTAATCCTAGCGCTTTGGGAGGCCAAGGCGGGAGTATCGCTTGAGGCCAGAAGTTTGAGACCAGCCTGAGCAAGAGCAAGAATGAGACCCCATCTCTACAAAAAATTAGAAAAATTAGCTGGGCATGGTAGCAGGCACCTTGTCCCAGCCACATGGGAGGCTGAGGCAGGAGGATTGCTTCAGCCCAGGAGCTTGAGGTTGCAGTGGGCTATGATGACACCACTGCACTCTAGCCCAGGTGACAGAGTGAGACCCTGTCTCAAAAAAAAAAAAAAAATTTTTTTTTCTGATGAACAAGACCAAGTATATACAATCAAGTTATTAAAATCTGAATATACCAAAATAATAGCTTAAATTGCCAATTATCAACTAATTTTCATCGTGGATAAAATTCGTTTTAATGGATTTTGATTTGTAACTCTCCTTTTCCTTTTAGGCTTTCTTGTAAGGCATCTCACCTGTCTTTCTAATGGGTAGAACCCCTATTATATTGTGACAATGAAAGTATGAGGGATGACATGGAAAATAGGTTCCAGAGGAGAAGTGGGGTCATTTGGCCTAGAGAAGAGGAAGAGAAAGGGGAATTGGGGATTTCAAGCCATATTCTCAATATTGTGGGAAAGTGGGTAAAAGGTAGTGAGATTAATGCCAGGGAGATTTTAGCTGGATTTAGGAAGTGGCTTGGCCAATATGGTGACAAAGGATAGAGGAGACACAAGAAATTATCTTGAGTGGCAGGCTAACCAATCTGCTTCAAGGACATGGTGGAAGCAGACCTATTGCCTTGAGGACCTAGGCTAAGTGTGGACAGGGACTCAAACAGGCAGCAGGTAGGAAGAAGGAATTAGTTGGCAAAAAGCAAAAGTAAAAACAAAGTTCACACATATGCAGTTAGCACATGGTACTCTGTTCCATTACCAAGGCAAGCCAGGTAGGTCTTTCCCTGCTCACTTCCAGAGTTGTTCATTCTTTCTTTTTTAAAGACTGCTCTGGATACTTCTTTCTTCTTCTTCCTTCTTTCTTCTCCTTCCTCAAAATTCCACCCACGTAGAAATTTTGATGGGATAAGAGAGAACACCAGGGGCCGGGCGCCGTGGCTCACGCCTGTAATCCTAGCTCTCTGGGAGGCCGAGGCGGGCGGATTGTTTGCGCTCTAGGAGTTCGAAACCAGCCTGAGCTAGAGCAAGATCCCGTCTCTACTAAAATTAGAAAGAAATTAATTGGACAACTAAAAATACATAGAAAAAATTAGCCAGGCATGGTGGCGCATGCCTGTAGTCCCAGCTACTCGGGAGGCTGAGGCAGTAGGATCGCTTGAGCCCAGGAGTTTGAGGTTGCTGTGAGCTAGGCTGACGCCACCGCACTCCACCCGGGCAACACAGTGAGACTCTGTCTCCAAAAAAAAAAAAAAAGACAGAGAGAACACCAGGGACTGTCTTGCATAACCAAGAAAAATTATCAAAGGGGAAAATCAGCCACTGCTGCTCCTTCAACTCTGCTTAGAGTCACTTTTGTCTTCTCTTAGTCTCCACTCCCGGTCCTGCCCTTAACTCTCTGGAGACTTCTGGCCTCCTGGGACTTTTATTTTGAATCTATTCTTAACTCTCTGCTGGTGTTAACTGTTCGCCAGCAGCTTAATGGCCTGATTTCCCCCTCAAACGCTGTCTTCCGGGGCCAAACCAATGGAGGTGGCCCACGCGGCAAAGCAGCCAATGCAGAGGCTTCGGAGCCACCGCTTGGGGCTGTGTGACCCTGGGCACGCTCTGTGCTCTCTCTGGGGTTGGGTGGGCGTGGCTGGGGAGATGCGCAGGGTCACACTGTTGTGAAGGCACAAGTTCAGGCCTTTTACTTAGTGGAGAACGAAGAGACAGCGGAGGTTTGGAGAAAGGAGATGCCAGGGTGGGGTGAGCTGCGGGAGCTGCGCGGCGAGCAGGGAAAGCAGGTGGGTGTGAGCGACTTGAGAGCAGGGACCAGGTGTTACTTCCAAGCCGGGCCAGCAGGGACTCCGGCACACCTGCTGCTGATTGCTCTTACTCTCCTCTCCTCAGGGCCTCGGACAAGCTGTTCCTCCTGGACCAGTGCGAGAAATACCGGCGCTGCAAGCAGTGCCAGAGGCGCACCTCCAACGTGGGCGAGAGCAACCTGTGGCCCCTGAACAAGTTCCTGCGTGGCTCACGGTTGCTTGTGTAAAACTCAAAGTTTGGATCTGCGTTTCCTGGAGAAATTTTTTTTTCTTATTAATCTTTTACATGTTTTGGGTGATTGTGAGACTGCTTATTTGTTCCTCAGAGAAAAAAAATCATTGTTCGGGTTTCATGCTTTCAGTAGACAGCTTTTTAACCCTTATTGAATTCAAGTCGGCAGAGCCTCCCCTCTTGCCTTTCGCCCTCCCTCATTTACTCCCCCAGCTTGTCTCCCATGGCAGTGAAGGTGTCTGAATGGTCCTGAGGACTGGACCCCCTGCCACAGGGGCTGGAGACTGGACCCAGCTTCATTCTGGATGCTGAGCCGGCCCTGCCACGCCCTCTGATTTTGTGTGCAAAACTCCATCTTTTTTCGTCTATAATGAATAGTGTCACAATAAATGTTTTCTAAGCACCTGAGTGCATGACAGTTCATAACGGTACATTTTACCCTCTTCCCCAACCCTAGACTTGTCCAGAGGCCTGTATGTGTGGACATCATGGAGGCAGATTAGGCTATTTACCGCAGGAGGGTCAGAGCAATGCTTCCTGCATTTTCTAATTGACACACCTGCGACTTTATTGGGGCCTCAGGGGTATCGTTCCCTTGGTGACCTCCTGATCAACCATTCCATTGTCCAGCCGTTTCTAACCCCTATCACATGCTTATTTCGGGAATAAGTGTGCATGTGAGGGGAGTCTCCTTGGCTTGGTAGGTGCCACCTCCTCTCACTGCTTCACTTGCATCCATTCTTGAGCTGTTGAAGAGGACTTCCCTGTCACTAAAGGTATGGCTGCTCTCAACCGAAAACTTTCTTAATTTATCTTTACCCTTTACCTCCTCTCCCTGCCCTATCTGACCACTTCAGATAAAACAAAGTAGAGTGAAGCCTAGATTTCTGAAATTCAAAAGCTAGGAAAAAAGTCTTTTAGACTAATTGCTTTCTGCCTGCCACACCTCTCCTTTAGACAATGAGCGAGGGTATATGTGGGGAGATGTTTGTGAATATTTAAACATTTGTTTGCTTGACTAAAAATACAAAGTAGGAATGTGTTGAGCCCTGAATAGTTATGGGGAAAATATTCACTTAAGCTGGTGTTGGACAAATTTTGTTGCTAATGTTGTCCTTTTCTATGGAAACAAGCATACCACAATTCTTTGGAACCTCTTCTCCGACCTTTCTACATTTCTGCCTCCTTCCATTTCCTCAGATAATTACTCCATGGAGGGCCAATCTTCATCAAAAGCAATAGCCTTTCCCCAGGACTGCCTGACCCGCCTGAATCCATACCTGCTGCACCCTTGGAGGATTTCTCTTTCTCTAATATATAATACATTACTATAACAGTGTTGTATTAATATTTAAAAAATATAGACTTCCATGCTAAAGTAAAAAAGTTAGGCAATTTTGATATGTCCGAGTGAACAGATTTAACTTTGTTGGCTTTTTTTTTGACTGGAGGAACTGAACTTAAAATTTACTATCATGGGTAGCAGTACTGACTCTAAAAATATTTTTTAAATTATAGTTATATATATTTTTGATGTACAAAGTGATATGATTTTGAGTACAATGTGGAATGCTTAAATCAAGCTAATGAACATATCCAGCTCCTCAAATATTTAGTATTGTCGTGATGAGAACATTTAAAATTTATTTTCTTAGCTACATTGAAATGTTCAATACTCAATTATTAGCCATTTTCACCACACCGTGCAATAGATCTCAAAAAAAATCAAACCTATTCCTCCTGTTTAACTGAGGCTGTGTACTCTTTGACTATCATCTCCCCATTCTTTCTTTCTACCCCCAGCCTCTGGTAGCTATCATTCTACTCTCTGCTTCTATGAGTTCCACTGTTTTAGATTCCACACCCAAGTGAAAATTAGTCTTTCTATGTTTGGCATATTTCACTGAGCATAATGTTCTCCAATTCCATACACGTGTCCTTTGTTCTACTTTTTACTTCTGTGAGATCAATTTTTTTTTTTTTTAGCTTCTATATATAAGTGAGAACATGTGTTGTTTAACTTTCTGTTCCTGGCTTATTTCATTTAATGTAATGTCCTCCAGTTCCATCCATGTTGCTGTGAATGAGAGGATTTCATTCTTTTTTATGGCTGAATGTTACTCCATTGTGTATACATACAACATTTTCTTTATTCATTCATCTGTTGTTGGATTCTTGGGTTGATTCCATATCTTGGCTATTGTGAATAGTGCTGCAATGAACATGAGGGTGTAAACATCTCTTCAACATATTGATTTCAAATATTTTGGGCAAATACCCAGAAGTGGGATTGATCGATCACATGGTAATTCTATTTTTAGTGTTTTAAGGAACCTCCATACAGTTTTCCATAATGGCTGTACTAATTTACATTCCCACCAACAGTATATAAGGGTTCTCTTTCTTCCACATCCTCGCCCAACACTTATCTTTTGAATTTTTGATAGTAGCCATTCTAACAGGTGTACAGTGATCTCTCATTGGTGTTTTATTAATAATGTGCATTTTTCTAATGATTAGTGATGTTCAGCATTTTTTCATGTATCTGTCAGCATATGTCTTCTTCTGAAAAATGTTTATTCAGGTCCCTTGCCCATTTCTTAATTGATTATTTGTTTCCTTTCTATAGAGTTGTTTGAGTACCTTATATATTCTGGATATTAATCCCTTATCAAATAATGTATGGCTTGCAAATATTTTCTCCAATCTGGAGGTTGTCTCTTTACTCTGTTAATTGCTCTCTTTGTTGTACAGAAATTTTTGTAATTTCATTGTTGGTTTTTGCTTTGTTGCCTGTACTTTTGGGGTCAAATGTAAAAAGTCATTGCTCAGACCAGCGTTTTATAGTTTTCTCCCTGTGGTTTCTGCTAGTAGTTTTACAGTTTCAGGTCTTATGTCTTTAATCCATTGTGAGGTGATTTTTGTACATGGTACAATATAAGTGTTCAATTTCACTCTATTTCTTTTTATTGGAGAATTTAATCCATTTACATTCAAGGTAATTATTGATAGTTAAAGACTACTGCCATTTTGTTCATTGTTTTCTGGTTTTATAGATAGTTTTTTATGCCTCTCTTGCTTTTCTTTGTGGTTTGATAGTTTCTGTAGTGGTATGTTTTGAATCTTTAAAATTTTTGTTTTTTGTGTCTCCTATAGATTTTTGCATTTTGGTTACCATGAGGCTTACATAGAACATCTTACACTTATAATAGTCTATTTCACATTGATAACAACTTAACTTTGATTGCATACAATTACTTTACACTTTTACTCCCTTTCCTCCACATTTTATCTTTTTGATATCTGAATTTACATTATTTTTATAATGTGTGTCTCTTGATAATTTATTTTAGCTACAGTTGTTATTAATAATTTTGTCATTTAGGCTTTATACTAAGGATAAAATTACTTTACACACCGCCATGACAGTCCTAGAGTATTCTCAATATTGCTTTGTATTACTTATACCATTGGCTCTTGTGCTTTTGTAAGTTTTATGTTATTAATTAGAAGACTTGTTTCAGTTTACAGAACTCCCTTTGGCAATTCCTGTAAAGCAGTCCTAGTGGTGGTGAACTCCCTTAGTTTTTGTTTTTCTGGGAAAGTTTTTATTTCTCTCTGATTTCTTGGAAATAGTTCATTACCTGAAAAAGATGTATATTTCTCTCTGATTTCTGAAAGACATATTTTCTGGGTATACTGTTCTTAGTTAAAGTTTTTTTTCCTTTAGCACTTTGAATAAATCATCCCACTCTTTCCTAGTCTGCAGGGCTTCTGCTGAGAAGTTAGCTGATAGTCATATTGGGACTCTTTTGTATATGATGTATTTCTTATCTCTTACTGCCTTCAGAATATTTTCTTTGTCTTTAATTTTTGATAGTTTTATTATGTGTCATGGTAAACTCCTTTTTGGGATGAACTTGACTGGACACCTCTGTGCTTCCTACACCTGGATGTTGACTTCTTTCCTCAGATTAAAGAAGTCTTATTTCTTTAAATATGCTTCTGGCCCTTTTTCTCTTTCTTCTCCTTTTTGAATTCCTGTTATGCATTGGTTAGGTCTCTTGATGGTGTCCCATAAGTCCCATAGGATTTCTTCTTCTTTTTTTTCTTTCTTTTTTTCTTTTTGCCCCCCAATTAGGTAATTTAATATGTTCTGTTTTTGAGCACACTGATTATTTCTTCAGCTTCACTGAGCCAGCTATTGAAGCTTTCTGTTCATTCTTCAGTTCAGTCATTGTCTTCTTCATCTCTAGGATTTCTATTTTTTTTATTATTTGTATTTCTTTGTCAAACTTCTCATTTTGTTTGTGTATTGTTTTCCAAATTTCATTTCATTTTTTATTCATGTATTCTTGAAATTCACTGAACTTTTTAAAGAGGATTATTCTGAATTCCTTTTCTGTTATTTCATAAATCTCCTGTTCTTTAGAGTCCATTGTTGGAGATTTGTTAGTTTGTTTTGAGGGTTTCATGATTTCCTGAGTCTTTGTGATCCTTGCATCCTTGCATTGGTGTTTGTGCATTTGTGAAAAAAGCCACCTTTTGGGAATTTTACAGGTGTTCTTTGGTAGGGATAGACCTTCACTGTTTAGTCAAGCCTGTGCTTCTGGGTGGGTCAGCTAGTAATGACCCTGGGCAGGCAGAGCTTGCTTTTCGTTTCTCTAGATGGCTGGGCTACTTCCTTTGCTTTGAATTTGGATGGGGCAGCTGGCTAGGCTCTTCTATCTGGCAAGACCACTAGCTGAGCTCTGCAATAAGGCTGAGATGCTGGATGGGCACTTCAATTGCCTTTGACCCAGCTGGGCCACAGGGTGTATTTGATAGCCAGATGTTACCACTATTTGAGTTTAGAAGTTGGACAGGGTTGCAGGAGGGCCCTGAGGTTAAGTGGATTGGGATGAATGGACCAACTCTACACTCAGTAGAAAGGTACTGTTAAGATTTGCTTCTCTCCCTGGGTGGGATCTGGGATGGGCTTTGAGACTGTAGGGAGTGCTGATTAAACTTCTGAGCGTGGCAAAACTAGTGCCTGTTTTTTTTTGTGGAAATTTACTGCCGTAGTCCTTTCCCTTCCTGATGGAGGCCCTGGCATAGGGTCTGAGGGTGGGCCTGGAGGATGGCCATCTAGGAATTCGAGCTAGTTGGCACTTTACACTTCTGGACTGACCAGCTCAGTTTTGCGGGTGGGCTATGCAGTTAGCTGGTACCTCTGATTGAGTGCCACTGATGGCAGTTACACTAAGTTATCACCAAAATCTGTGCACTGTTCTCTGCGGGCTTCACCTCTTTGCTTTGTTTCTACCTGACCCCAGGTGGTCTAAATGTGTAGTTTCTCCCCATATTCCCCATTCCCTGTGAGGTGAGAATGGAGTAGAATTTCTTGGAATGCTAGGGAAGCTGGATCG